GGTTATTATTAAATTAAAGACAGTGTACTATCCCACGGTTATTATTAAAAGTATCTCAAAAGAGTTGGTAAGTTACTTTATGCTACACTTGTTAGATAAAATACTAGCTGTAAACTGCTACTATTTGAATATACTGCATATAATAGTATTAGTTGCATATGGTGCAAGTACATTTACACATAACTATGTCCTTTGTTTTTCTATACCTAAATTTATTTGAAATTCAGAATTTGTATATGCAGTTCTATGTACTTGAAAAAAATAATTTTAGCTGTTGTAGTGTCTCACAAAATAAAATTTAGTACACAAACAGCTCTGTAGCTGTTATTTTTCCTCTTCCAGTAGAAAATATCCTAAAGAAATTTCTCCAAAATTTTTAAGTAAAAGAAGTTTTGATTTTTTTGTTTTATTATCTGTATGATTAAAAACACAACCCTTTCCTTGATTAGAATCTTGGATGTCATTGGACAATACTATGATTGCCCATGAACATATGTATGCCTGTTGCTACTGTTATGTAACCAAATCGTGCTATTAGTAATGTGTGTGTGTGTGTGTGTTTTCACGTAATTGTTTAGTAAATTCATTAACGATGAGTTTTAGGAAAGTTAATAACAGTCAAGCGATGAAGAAAATTGTTAGGATCACAGTGGATGTGAATAAAGAGGTTGTCGAAATGTATGAAGATGTCATGCATACTGGGAACTTTGCTACTGCATACCGTTCATCGAGTATCAAAGACGCTTTTAGAAGTAAATCTGCTAACATTATGATAGGGGTGAAATCAATTACCAAGTAAAGATCAGAAATGTTACAGCATGTCAAAGAACAACTTTCGATCAAGATAGCAGAAAAATATTTATATGCAGTACCATGTATAGTGCTTCATTTGTATTTAGTATATATATTTCATCCACTGCATTTACATTTTAGTATTAAATAGTGCTATAATAATAGCAATAGGATTTCTTTACAAGAATGGATTAATTATTCCCTCTTTATTTCTTATTTGAAAAGTTTGTTTGGAATGCGTTCAAGGGTCTGAACTGGATTAATGACATATATCAAGCTACCACTATAACTAGAATGACTCTTAGGTGTTATTCATGGGTATCTCCACTTCTAAAATCTAAATATTAAAAATGCCACATAAAAGTTATAACTAAATTATACATCACAAAAGGAAAAAAAAAAAGCCTGCCGTCTTTTTCATTAACAGATATTCTTAAAACATATGATGCAATATAACGTATGTCACAAAGTCAATCACACTCATAAAATTAGTAATATTACAGATATAATAGGTAATCAGTGTCACCAACTGATGTACAAATGTCCAACAGAATCAGTGTCACCAACACATTTTTCTCAAGCGTGCATTAATATCGAAATCTTGCAAAGTACACTCTTTTGCAAAAAAATCGAAACACCAAGAAGAGTTTTTGCGATCCTGATGAAATTTTGTGTGCAAAAACATATTGATTAAACATGCAAATGATCAAAGTTTCAGGGTAAATGAACAGGAATTGTGATAATAGCACACATTTTTAGCGTGCAATACGTAAAGTATAAAATCAGTAACAGACGCGGAAAATCTTTTATTGTTGCTGCCATTGTAATTCCGTAGAGAAGTAACTAAAGATGCCATTACGACGATATCGAAGACTTTACTGACAACTAAACGACTTCAAATGTGGTCATATTTTAGGGTTGCATGAAGCTGTGTGGTCGTACCGAGCAACAGTCCGCCACCTGCAGCGTACAGACACTGCTGTGCAAAGACGTTGGCAGCAAAGGTTGATACTACCAACGAAATGAAGGCTCTGGAAGACCAAGGAGCACAAATGCGAGGCAAGATAGGATGACTGTTCGCCAGGCCCGAACCGCCCCAATGATATCATTGTCGACTATTCAATGGACTACAGCCATGTCTATACCTTCTATCCATTCACCATCTCACAGTTCTTATCTGAGGTGGGGTTACGCTCACAGAGGCCTTTAAGTCATTTGCCTTTGAACCCACATCGGCAGAGTCGTCTGGAGTGGTGTCGCAGCCGATCATCATGGCTGCCATCAAACTGGCATTAGTGTTCAGCAATGAATCCCACTTCACTCTTGAAGCAGATGACTACTGTATTCGTGTCTGGATGGGGCCAGCGGTCCCAATCAGCCTTTGTTTTACAGCCATAACCCCTGTTGTGGGGCACTATTTCTTATGACAGCAAGTCATCTTTAGTTATCCTCCGTACATCTTTAACAGTTTAATGATATGTTGATACCATCCTGTGGCTGGTTGCATTACCCTTCATGGCACAATGTCCTGGGGCCATTTTCCAACAAGATAATGACAGGCCACATTGCGCTCACATATCTCTGGACTGCCTCCATGCGGTTGATACTCTTCCTTGGCTGAGCAGCAAGGCCACTGGACCTTTTACCAATCAAGCATGCCTGTGGCATGGTAGGCCGCCAGATTTGGGCACCATAAAATATCTCAGATCTGGAGCGACAACTAATGAATGCCTGCTAGAATGTGTCCCAGGATGACGTTAGGAACCTCTAACCACTCCTTGCCTCAACGAATTCAAGCATGCAATGCCGCCAGGGGCGGTTCGACCAACTACTAATTTGAACACTCAGTAGGTAATTACGAGCCGAGAAAAGGTACTATGACCTTGATTTTTTAATCATATTATTATCTGTGTATGAGCTATACACATATTTAGTTTCCTCAAAAACAACCACTTCCTTTATGGTGCTTCGATTTTTTTCAAAAGAGTGCATTATGTTGATATGCACGGCAGGGCCCACTGGTGCAAGAGGGACATCTATTCCTGGGTGCAACATCCAGTTGTCACCAAATTCATGTTCCCCATTTCATTTTGGCAAACAGGAGAAGGAATGAAATCTTCAGTTGTCTCCCAGTGCTGAAAACCCTACCTATGCCTCTGCTGGCACCAGAGTTACTGCAGTCTCATCGGGCAACAGAATTTATGGGTAGCAAAAGTTTCAGAATTTAGGAAGAAACTGGGCAGTAGAACTACGAAGTCGTAGAGTTTGCACCAGGTGGCAAAAAGCCTAGCACCAGCCTTGCAAATATACTAAAATGAAGAACACAAACTGAGTTATTTTTAAGCCAACAAAAAGAGGGCAAAACACATACAGCTTAATTAGAAAGGAGGCCATCTGCAACCCTTCACCATAAGTGGCTCTCAATGGCCATCATGCTTATGTGGAGTAAAAATCTATGATATGTACTTTCAGAATTAAAACATTTTGGTAAACTAATTACTTTCATTATTTAATCATTCATTTACTGAATCTACTCATTGTGCTAAGTATTAATGTTGAAAGCAGAAGACTTGTTGCATTAGACTTGAAGAAGTCGATTGTCTTGAAGACTTGAAGAAGTCGAAGTTGCTTGAAGAAGCTGAAGACAATTTAGATTATTCGCCTCTATGTTTAGTCAGCTAGAGTAAAAACTTTCTAGTTTTAAACCTTCCAGTTACTAGAAACTTTGCCAAGCCTGTAATTGTTTCATAACGATTAATAATGCAAATTAAAAAATGTCTTGAAAAATAGTTCAAGCAGAAATTGTCATTTTTGTATTTTATGCTGACTGAAATTTGTTCATAACATCCAGTTTTATAATAATAGTTGCTTTTCACCCAGTAATGTTTTTGCTTGATTTACATCATAGTCCTCATCTGAGGAGCTGGATTTCTACGGCTCCCTTGCTGTGAAACAACAACTGTCAAAGTCATCAGCAATTTGAAGAGAAAACAAACAAATACACCCAAACAAAATCAAAATATCACTGTTTCTAAAACACTATGATAACCTGAGCAAAAAAGAGCTTGGATTTCAACAGAAATTCAGCGTCTGAGTTCAAAATAAAAAATTCCATGGACTAAAAATATATAAGAACTAGGAAATATAGGGGGGGTGGAGTCCTTATTTGACTGCTCTTTACGTCACATATTTGGAAACAGATTTCACATTACATGTGAAGAATAAATGGAATGCTAGATTTTGGTTTAATTCCCTCCCCCAGTCTGCTTGACTTCAGCTGTGTACACGTTATGATTTTGGAACATTTTCTTACGACTACTTCAAATCTGATGAGACAAAAAAAAAACATATTTTTGTTATTATTTTTCTGAAATTAGACTAGAGGGATGAATGATTCTGCAGATGACATTTTTGGGAAAGCTGACTCACATTTATAGACGGACGACACCCCAAAACCTCCCACGCAGCCAACCCATTCACCTGGATTTGAAAGCAGGTTAAACTACTAAAGTTCAGCAATTTTACCACTTGGCTGCTGGTAGCCACTCTATTCATCTGGAAATTGCTCACGACCAGAGGAATTTGACGATACTCATCAAACGACAATGTGAGACAATTTTGTCACCTTTAGTAAAAGCATGTAATCTACCATTCACATTGACAAATTACGACTGGTATTTCCTTGTGATAAATCCACAAATGAAGCAGCAGCTAAAAGGTCTTTGAAACAAGTATTCTTCTCAGGGAAATTTGTAATCCCTACATTCAGCTTTTCATGAGATTCCACTGTACTGCTTATGCCATACACCATCCTCTTCAATAACTGATAACTTTTGGTACAAGTTCAAAGTTCACAGTTTTACTTCATAATATCCATTTATGCCATCTGACATGTCAAAAATAAGGTGTAATTAATATTGAGAATGAATATATTTTTTAATTCCACCACAGTACAGATTTTCAGACAACTGCACATTTTCCAATTTTGCATTAACAAATACTGAGCTATTTGTGGACAGATTAAATACTTAGAACACAGCATGTGACTGGAGTTTTTCCTCTTCTACCTCCTACAGAGTATAAAAGTAATAACTCTTTAAATTACAAAATCTTATGAAATGGGCATCAAATGTCATACCAAATAAATATTGTAAGAATTTATACACTTTCAATGAAAAAAAATGCAAAGCTAAATGAATAGGACTGAGTAGAAAGCCAGTAACTTTATTACAACTTAAATGCATGAGCACATTACATTGACCAAAACATATAATGAAAACTTATTTATAAATTTGTTAAAATACTTTCAACAAGCACAATATTCATAAATAAAAATGGCTTTAATATTTACAAAAGTAGCAAACAGCTCATAAAAGTTTTACATTGAGCGGTATAGTACAATTATTTTCACACGGAAACACACATTTTAACAGCTACATGTAAAACTTGAAGCACTTAAACTTTTTACTTCACTACCAGTTATTCATGCCTGGCTTGCTAAGTGTCATAAAATATATTTGACAAGCAGACCCTCCTTTTGCAGACGAAAAAAATACCTGCAAAAAATAAGATGAAAAATTTCGTTATACAAGTGATTATTGTTATACAGTTATTTAATTTTTGCGATTTTGCTGCATTTAATAAAGATAAAAATGAAATTTCCCACACAATTAGAATAATTTTTGGTGTGTTTTCCAAATATTAAATTATAATTTGCACAGTCTGAAATAGTTTCTGAAATTGTACAGAATTCTAGAAAGGATGATTTTAGTATATGGAGAGGACATATGCCTGTCAGACATTTCAATCCCAAACATTAGTTTTGATTTCAGGTTTAAAATTTCATGATAAAAGATATTTTTTTATTAACTTTCCACTGATATTCCACAGTGTAATTGTGTATGCCAATGATACTCAACAAATAATATAAAGTTTATAATAGCATTGAATGAAATACTTGATGAAGTAGCATTCAATGATCACACTTCACATATCATCTAAATGTTTGCCCTAGTAACTAAGCCAAATGATAATTAATCTTAATGTAAATACTTTTCTTCTATAATTAAGATTTTTCTAGTATTAAGATTCAGTTTTCTTCTATTTTCATGAAAAATGCTTACAGGCATCTAACAATAGGCTATTTTGTTTTAACATTTCATTTACACTAGAAAAATTAACTTTTACTTAAAACATAGCACACAAATACAACTTTTCATGACAGACACTTTTTATTAGAATTACAAAGATAAAATTCTAATTATTTAAAACTTAGTTATAAGTCTTTCAAACATGCCAAATTTTCAATTCATAAAAAATATTAAGTACATTCAAAACAACACTTTTCAAATTTATTTATTAATTCAATTAAAATTACCTTCTCATTTCTTTCACATAGAAACTTTAATCTTTGAGCCTTTTTGTGCATGAAAACACCATCTAAATGGCCAGTTTCAACATTACGGATTTCAATGGCTTTATTTCCCCATCCCATTACTTGACCAGTTCCAATATAAGCTATAACAAATAAAAACAAATTAAAAGAATATATATATAATAGAATATCAGAAAAATGAATATATCAGAAGAATGAATATTAAAAATGCTCACATAACTGACAATACTGCCTTTTTTCAAGCCACATTCAAAAACCTCTCAAGCTACTATCACAAATATTCATAAAAAAATATATATCTACACCTGAGACATTTATAAAGTTTCAAATCGCTTAATACTAAAGAAAATGACCATGTTCTTCAAAATGCGAAGCAAAGCATTAAAAATACACTTCAGAAGTAAATAACATATTTAGCAATTCCAATATACCATATTTTTTTTAAATGAAGGTTAATATTATGCTATTACTTTCTGCACTTCAAAAAAGGCTTACAGCATCTCTATTGGCATAATAATCAATTTAAGAAACAGTAATTACAGATAAAAATGCAAGAAAACACATATGAGCTTACCCACTGATGTAGGCATCTCTCCCCACTGCAATACAATGTTCTTGCTCACTTTTCCAAAAGTATTTACATAAATACCTTCATCTATAAATGATAAAACAAAATTATTTAACATGTAATTACATTAAGAAAGATAAAAATAATTCATTCTTCAGTTATTATATGAAAACTAAAGCACAGAAGTTATACAGAAAGTAAAAACAAAAACTTCTGAAAGTTTCAGCTTTGATACACACACTGTGATATAAATCTAAAGGATGTTTGGCAGGTGTGAACTCATATCAGCAAAGCATATTACTAAAAGTTATTGTCAGATTTCAGTCATTGCTCTGTAAGTCCATGCACTTTGTTCAAGATGACTATAACAGTACCCTAAAAATGTGGATTGTTGAACAAAATATGGTTATTTAATAGTCCAAGAATATTGTGACATTATGCAAACAATCACCCAAGAATATAAATACAATTACTGATTATTAAGCTGTCAGATAAAACCATTTTTTATAATAAACAAATAAACTAACTATTGTATGCATGTCAATATACCACAAAATATACATAACAAATTACAAAAATATTCATGCAACAATGATCAACTTGAATGAAAGGTACATAATTGACAGATTTTTAAGTATAATTTAGATATAACTGCAGATTCTCTACATAAGCAGTTTGATTTCAAGTAAGTATTGGAATTCAAAAATTTGGCAAATGATCCTATTTCAAGGCAAACAAAAGAATATAAAACTTCCCAGATCAATCATTTAAGGCATTAGTGGATATCAATAGTTAACATGAAAACAAGACAATTAAATACAATATCTATACAAGAATTTATTTCATAACTTATTTATTTTGTTTATCTCAAAGAACATTTATTGCATGGATAGCAAATAAACAATAGTATATTTTAAACAAACAAACAAAAAAAAAACTGTTATACTTACTATCATAACACAGTAAGAGCTGCATTCCCTTGGAATTCGGCAAGGTAACAATGGCATGAGGCATAATAGATCCCTGCGACTGTAAAATATAATTTTTTAATTAAGAAAATATTTAACAGATATTATATAATCAAAAAGTTATAATCTTTAAAAGGTTATCTTTCACAAAAAAAAAAAAAAAAAAAAAAAAAAAAAAAAAAAAAAAAAAAAAGAGAGAGAGAGAGAGATTAAATTTTGCAATTATACTTCTTTACTGGCTGTCTTTCAGGATGTAAGCTGATGATAATACATGCTTGAAAGCATATACATTCAACTGCCAATTGAAATATTAAACAATTCCTATCACAACTTATCATAAAACAAATAATCATACAACTTATAGCTGTTTCTTATAGATATAGCATTGAATGCATTTTAATGCATCATGGTTGCATACTTGAAAATTAGTGAAAGAAACTACCAGTCATTTGAATATTAACACATAGAAGCCTGTATATACGAGGGTTGGAACTTTAATAGTGGCAACACAGCTGAAAAAACGCTATGCAACAAAACCAAAGAATATCGCGTATACCACACGTGAACTACATAGCTACCTTACCTCCGCAGCAAAAAGACTCGTCCTGCCTACGTCCCGCGCATGCGGAGTGACGCGAAGAAGGGATCCTTGTATTAGCTCGTGGTCTAAAGTAAGTGTTGTCACCATGTTTTCAAAACAAGAACAACTATGTTGGATAAAAATTGAATGTGCCAGAGGTCGTACAGCACAACAGTGTCATCAAGGGCTTCAAGAGGCTTGTGGGGAATCTGCATTGCCTTACAGAACCGTAGCAAAATGGGTGAAAGCATTCAATGAAGGACGCCAAAACGTGGCAGACATGCTGTGGCCAGGTCGTCCGAGTGTCAGCGATGCAAGACGTGCAAGCTGTTGCCGCACTAATGGACAGTGATCGCCGCCACACGATTCGTCAGCTGGCCGGACAAACAGGATTAGTGCATACGACTGTGCTGCACATTCTGAAGGAACGCCTGTCCATGAGAAAAATTGCTTCACGATGGGTTCCACATTAATTGACGGAAATGCAGAAATGGCTACGATACGATGCTGCCCGAACCCACCTGGAGCGCTATGAGTGCGAAGGAGATGCTTTTTTACGCCGTATCATTACGCTGGATGAGACTTGGGCCTGATCGTACCAGCCACAACTGAAACGCCAATCAAACAAATGGCGTCATCACGGGTCCCCACGACGTTCGAATTTTCGTCAGAACCCAAGCAATGTGAAAGTTATGGTGATTCTCGTGTACGACTGTGATGGTGTCATCCTAACGCATACCGTTCCCTCACAGCAGACCGTCACTGCGCAGTATTACTGCTCATTTTTGGAGCACAATCTCCGACAAGCTTTGAGAAAAAAACGGCGACACTTTCTGCAGAACGCTTCTCTCATTTTGCATGACAATGCTTGGCCGCATGCAGCGCAAGCTGTGACTGATTTGTTCAAGCTATGGGGCTGGGAAGTGCTTTACCATCCACCATACTCCCCAGATCTAAATTCTTGTGATTATGACTTAATTCCTAAGATGTAGGAACCACTTCCACTCGCTGGCACTCGCTTCCAAACTGTTCCTGAGATTCTTGCGGCAGATCGGTCCATTCAAACTATCAACAAAAACAGGCGCTGCTACAGGTATTCTGCGACTTCCACATCGTTGGAAACGGGTTGTACACAATGCTGGCGACTATATTGAAGGACTGTAAAACATGGTGACATGAATCACTTTTGTATTCCTTGTAAATAAATAGCTGCCACTATTAAAGTTCCAACCCTCGTAATTACTCCTAAAAAATCATCATCCAAATGACAGTTTTTAATATGTACTACCCATCATTGAAAATACAATACCAAGGAGGAGTGGTTCGAAAAATATGCAAATTTCAGGGTTAGACACATGTCACAGAGTTATGCGAATGATGTGAAATTGAAATGTGCAACTCTCGAGTGTACATTGAAGAAGATATAAGGGAAGGAACCTGCAGAATGTTCAATTTTTGTGCCATTATTTCTGCTACAGAAATCTTCGTAAAAAATGTGTTCTTGTCTCAGAGGATGCGTGTAATAGCAGAGAATGTAAAAACATCGTCAATGGAGCAGTTGCAGAAGACAGGCAATTTTACGAGGGGCATGGTGATCAGACTGAGAAGGGCAGGCTGGTCCACATGCCAAATCTCAGCCGACACACACATAGATGTGTACATAGTGCACCAGCTGTGATAAACTAGGTTGGAACATGGAAATGTGGCAAGTTCGACGGGTGCTGTGCAGCCAGAGTGACATCAGCATGTGTGGATCGACAAATCCGCTGACCAGCAGTATTGCACCCACAAGCAACTTCTACCTCCCTGCAGCAGCATGTTCAAGACACCATGGATGATTTCATATGGAACAGAACCATTTGCCATCGATTGGTGGCTAGTGGCCTGCACTCGTGATGTCCATTAAGAATACTGCCATTGACCCCACACTGTAGACAAAGGAATGGCACAGGGTCGTGTTCTCAGATGAGTCACACTTCTTTTTCTCCAATGACAGCCACCACATACGAGTCTGGTGCTCATGTAGAGACAAGTCCAATCCAGCAGCAACTGTGGAATGCTCCACCATGCGACAGCGCAGCATCATGGTTCGGGGCACAATTGCATCCAATTCCAGGTCATCTCTAGTTTGCATTCTGGGCATTATGGCAGCCCACAGATACATGAATGATGTGCTGCCGCTGATGACACTTCCCTACATACAGGGAGTGCCAAGTGCCCTCTATCTGCATGATAATGCCCAAGCATCCGCCAACGTGCTCTCTAGAGTGTACAGATGCTTCCCTGGCACTTTTGCCTCCTGATCTCTCATTAATCTAACCCACTTGGATTGAGATTGGCGGCCATTTGCAGACCCTGCCATTGTCGCATTCAGAAGACAAACTGTGGCAAATCGTTGACAGGGAATGGAAAGCCATTTCTCAGGACATCATCCTTAGTCTCATTGACTCTGTACTAGACATGATGCTTAGTGCATAGCCATCCAAGGTGGTCCTACAACCTACTGAGATGATGCTATTCTCGCTCTGTATCATGCATATCACTTGGAAATAAAGATCACTTATTGTTCGTTGCTTTCTCTCTCTGTTTGCTGAGTTTCTTCACTTTCTCGCCACTCCTTCTTGGTGTTGCATTTTCAATGCTGGGTGGTGTATCATCGCAAAAGAGTAAAATAATGAAGTAAGCATGAGGTATTTAAAATATCTGCAGATACCAAAGCGAATGACACAGTTTTTTATAGTAAGAATCTGTATCTAGTTTTAGATAAAATTTAAGAAAGGTCTATTTATTTAATGGAAATTAAAAATTGCTTTATAAAACTAACAGCAAAAATATAATGAATTTGTTAATATTTCTTTCTAAGCACTTTCTTTTGAGAAATGACATACAAAACTCATAACTATTTGAAAGGCAAAAGTTTATTGAATTATATCATTTATTTAAGTCTATTGATTGATTAAATACTGATATTTTAGAATAAATTAAGAGAAATGCTGCAAATCTAAAGTTGTTTGTTTGGCAAATATTGTGAAGAGTAAAACAGCATTTGTAATTAAACTTGTAGGTAATAATTATTAAAATAATATTATGCAAAAATAATTATTATGTATTTCCCAGTAATTATTGAGGTAAAAACATGGAGTTTCTTTAGTTAGTTAATTAAAATATAGTAGTGGGAAAATTTTAAGGAACAAACATAATTTTTTTTTATGTTAATTCTTTTAAATGAAATCATTCATAGTTCATGGTCAACATTGCCACTCAGTCCAATGGGTCCATTTGTGTCCAAGTGTTGTTGTCCAAGTGTCCGTTTGCTACACAGAAATATATAAAGTTTTGGACCCATTCCTCCAATGCATGTGTGAAGGAGTGCAAGGGTGTGCTTCAAATTCAAATTTTAAGGACTGTACAAGTAGCTGGATAACATTTTCGAATGTGGAAGGTGAAACATGTCATTTTGAAGTCATCTGTAAATATTATGGGCTGTCGGAAATCAGGTGCGATTGAGAGAACGGAAGGAGAGACACCGACAACAGGTCGGTAAAGACCTAAAAGTAGACAAAAGCATTATGTCAGGAATCTGTTAAGAGGTTATCACACATGGCTACAGTCACTGCTAGACGGGATTTTTCTGACAAACGAGATTCTGGTAGTACTGGTTTAAATGGGAAGATTTCTAGAAAAAAGAGCCCCACATGAAACGAAGTCCCGCCTTGCTATGGAAACAATGTTGCGGCTATGCGGGATTTTTTCAAACTTCACCCAAAATGTTTCGGTTGGACCTCAATCTCGGGTAGAGAAAACCAATCAGATGAAAGTTCTTCTGAAGCCTCACGTTGATCCCAATCTGATCAATAATCGATTAGTGTTTGGCGTTCAAGTCTTTGTAGAAAGTGAAAATGGTAACCTAGCTACATGGGTTTCCTGGAACTGTGTGGATTCTGAGAATTGTTCCTTTCGACATCAAGTCCCGCATAGCCGAAACATAATATGATTGGGACTTTAGAAGTCACTAATGGCATATGAAGACAACCACATCAAAATCGAAAATGTTCCACAACAGACTCTCAAGGACTGTTATTTGTTAATGACTGCTAAAAGAAACAGGCAACTGGCATCAGCATAGATAGACTATCCAGATATATCTTGAGTGACAGGCTGCATAAAAGAGCCCTGTATGCACGGAAACTCATGATTTACACCTTATTAACTTAGGCTGCAAAGTGCATCTGGTTGCAGTGGTGCTAAAATCATTTTTACTGCAGTACAACAACTGGAAATGGAACATAGATATTTTTACATGTCAATCTGGTTTTGCTCGGTTTTAGATGTATTAAAATCTGGATGGAACAAAGCACATGCAATAAACATGAAAACATCACTGAAAGGTATCGGTACAATAATGGCGGAATCATGCTATGGGTAAGCATATTTTGAATGACAGCACATATTTTTACTAATGCAAATGCAAATGTTAAGAT